ACGGGAGGGCGTGCTGCACAAATTTGGCGACGAAACGGGATAATGACGCGAGCATCCCGTTGAGGGACTATATCGATTTCTTCGTGCTCAACATTGCGATCTCGAAAAATGCCCCGCATTTGTCCGAGTTTTCTTCGATCCCCCGCTCGGTCAGGTAGAATCCGAGGAACTTCCCCATGCGTACCCCAAAGGTGCATTTTTCAGGGTTGAACCGCATCCTGCACTTCCTTGCTGTCTCGAACACTTTTTTGAGGTGCGCCGTGTGGTCGACCTCAATGCAGGATTTGACGATCATGTCGTCCATGTAGACCTCGAGCATGTCGCCAATCTCTCCTCAGAAGACTTTGTTCATCATCCGTTGGTAGGTGGCGCCGGCGTTTTTTAAGCCGAAAGGCATTACGTTGTAGTAGTAGTTTCCCGACTCGGTCATAAATGTCGTGCTCTGCTTGTCAGACTCGGCGATGGGAATCTGGTTTTACCCCGAGTAAGCGTCCATGAAGGACAGTAGCTTGAAACCCGCCGAGTTATCAACGAGTTTGTCAATGTTGGAGAGGGGATATGCATCTTTAGGACATGCCCGGTTGAGGTCGGTGTAGTCAACGTATATCCTCCATTTTCCATTAGATTTTTTTGGCTAATACAAAATTGGACATATGGGTTGAATATCGGGCTTCCAAAATAAAATTTGCCTCTAGGAGGCCTTTTACAACTTTTTCAGTCGCCGCCAACTTTTCGGGGGACTGCCTACGCCTACGTTGTACTACAGCCTTAGCGGCCGGGTTGACAGAGAGCTGGTGGCAGGCTACCTCAGGGTCGAGTCCGGGCATCTCAGCGGTGCTTTAGGCGAAAAGGTCGGATTTCTCTCGAAGACAAACCTTCAACTGCTTCCTCGCCAGATCGGGCAGCCCTGCTCCAATCTTCACGGACCTCGTCGCATCTGCTTCGAGGGTTACGATCTCGAAGTCCCCGTCTGGAATGGGGCGCATTGGGTGGATAGCCTGCCCGTTGGTGGTTGGAGAAGTGTCTTCGGCTTCGTCCTCATGAGTTGGCTCTTTGGTGAAACGGAAGTCAAGGTCTACGGTGTCGACGTGATCCTTCGGCTTGCTCTCTTGGACGGGAGATGGCTTAGTTTCTTTGGTCCCCTGACTGATCGTACTAAGGCCCTTCGTTGTGGCTTCGAAGCACCGGAAGACTACTTTTATGTCCCTGTTGAGGGTGACGATGACTCCCAGTCTGGTGTAGTACTTCATCTTCAGGTGGACGGCTGATGGCACCACGGTTAGTTCGGCCATCGTTGTCCTGCCTAGGATGCAGTTTTACAGAGATGGGCACTCGACGACCAGGAAACATATGTTGATTTCCCTGGCCATTTCCTTTGCTCCAAAGGTGACCTTGAGCTCCACGTATCCCCATGGCCTTGTCTTCGTCCCGTTGAAGCCTTGGAGGTCTGAGTCTAGGTAGGGGGTCAGGTTGGTCTCATCGAGCTGAAGCATCGAGAAGAGGTGGGTATACATGATGTCCACCAAACTCCCTCTGTCGACCAGCATGCGGCAGATATCGAAGTTGGCCATCTGTGCCCGTATCAGCAGGGGTATGACTGAGTTGGGGGCTCCCCAGGGGAGCTCTTTCAAGTAGAAAGTGATCGGGTTGGATCGGCCACGAAACATGTCGAGCGTGCTCATTTTTCCTGAGCTGTTGTTAATTAGCTCGTCGAACTTCCTTTTAACCGACCCAATCGTGAGCTTGCTCGGGGTTCCGCCCAAAATGACCATTGCCATGGGGAAGTATTTCCAGCGACTGACGAGGCGTATTGGCTCCTCGGGCAGCTGAAGCTCGGTAGGAAGACCGAATTATCTTAGTGCAAAGTAGTCCTCTGGCCGACCGACGCTGAGATCCACCTGTAGGCCGGAATCGTTGTTGGAAGGGGGAATGTCCTCGACTCTTTTGGCCTCGGGAGCTTCTTGTCACGGGGCATCTCCTCCCCGGGTGTACCTCTTCAGGTGACCATCCTTGATTAATATTTCAATTGCATCCTTCAGATAGATGCAATCCTCCGTTACGTGCCCGTGGCTTCGCTGGAAGCGGAAATACTTAGACTTATCCATGTTGGCTTTGGGAGGTTCCGGTTTGGGAAAACGGACACCTCCACGGACAAACTCTGAGTTGGCGCACTCAGCCAGTATGCGCTCGCGGGAAGCGACTAGGGTTGTGTATTCAATGAAGCGGCCAGCAGGGCCCCTCTACTCCCGGGGTTCACGGGGACGATCCTCTCGTCGCTGGTCTCCCCCATGTCAGGGGATTGAGGCTTCTTCCTCTCGGGACCCGCAGAGGGTTTATTGGTTGCGGGTTTCACGTATAGTGTTGGCGGCCTCCGTCTCCTCGAACTAGATGTAATGGCAGGCTCTCTCGAGGAAGTCTTGGAGGGTGTCTGGCATGTGGATGGCCACAACCTCGTAGAACTTGGAGCCTCGGTGTAGGCCTTTCTCCATCAGGTTGCGCTTCATATCGTCTGAAGCCGTTACCTGGATTGCTTCCCTCGTGAACCTCTCAATATAGTTTCTGAGAGACTCATCTGGGGCCTGGATGATCGCGCCCAGTGCGGCCTCTGTCTTTGGATGTCACTTTGATACTGTGAAATGCCGTGAAAATAGATCCTTCAGGACCCTCCACGACGTGACAAACTCAGGCTCCAGGCTCTTGTACCATGCCATGACGCCTTCCCTCAGCGTCGTCGGGAAGTGCCCGCACTTGATGGCTCCCTAGACGTTCCTGTAGTCGAGCATCGCCTCGATATCCTCCAGATAATCGTCTGGATTCGAGGTGCCATCGTATGTCAAGAGCACAGGTGGTTTCTCCATCCCGTGGGGGATGGGGGTCGCCATGATTTCCCGTGACAGAGGGGTCCTATAGTCGTCCTCGTCACTGCGAGCCAGGGATTGCGGAGGCGACAACTCATGTCGAAGAGGCAGGTTACGTCCCCTTGGTCTTCTGGCCGAGACTTCAGGCCTGCTCACCCTTGGCTCCGGGGAGCACATCTCTTTTCGGGTGGTGACCTTGCTCGTTTCTTGGAGGCAACAGGTTGGGGCCTCTCCAGCTGTGGATGGTGCCCCCGCGGTTGGGGAGAGGGGCTTCGAGAGTTCCCACGCTGATTTCCTCGCGGAGGAGAGTGTGACGAGTTGTCGTGTTCCAGCATGCTGATGCGCTCATTCTGTTGGAACAACATCATGTTTGTCTGGTTTATGGCCGTGAAGAGGGAAACCATCGCCGGATCCGCTCCAGCCGGTGTGGAAATGGGCTGAAATACTGTCGGGCTCCTCGCCCGAGGAACGACATGGTGGGCAACCTCCTCGGACGAAGCGGAGGCAGTTTGGCCGCCCCTGACGTCGGTCTCGCGGGGTTGAGATGTCCCCGGCTGGCTATTGCCGTTGGTGACCGGGGCAATGGGGGAGTTGCGGACAACGTCATCATGGCGTGGGCTAGTCATGATCTTTGAGATTGGAAAGGAGGAAGCTTTGGTTCTCTGCTCGGAGGAACGAGGAGGCTTAGATTCTCACAGACGACGCCACTGATTTGACCTGACCAAAAGGGAATCAGTGACGTGCCACGCGTCGTTGATCTGCTAGCTGTTTACCGAAAGTATGGAGGAGGAGGGGGTGTACCTGAAACACACTCCGATGCCAAAGTAAGTGACGAGTAGAGTGGGAGCAAGTACAAAGAGAGAGTAAGAGAGTTAAGTTACCTGACCCTCTAGTGGAAGAGGGTATTTATAGTGAGCCCCCAGCGCAGGGCCAACGGTTACCTTGCTTTGGGCTGGGCAGCAAGGCCCAATGATGGTAACTTCTAGGGCTGGCGTGGCGTCGTGAAGACCAGCACGTGGTCTTCGCCCTAGGGTAACAGTTCCGCACTATCCAGGAGGAGGAAGACCGAATCTCCAGGACGTGGGTGATTACTTTATGACGTGTCCCTACGTGAAGGGCACGTGGAGAATGTGGAGGAGGCCAGAGGAGCTCCCCGGACGGACTGGATTTTGCCCAACGATGGGGAAGAAGGAGGTTGGCCGGTCAGCTACGAAGGTCCTGCCTGACAGTTGTTGGCCTGTGCTCGGCGGGGGAAAGTGTTGTGCCCGACGAATTCTCTGTCCGTTCGTGAGGTCCTATTGGGTCCAAATCCAGTGGGGTTTGGGTCTGCTCGACTGTGGGTTGAGCACAGGCCCACTCCAAAACACATAAATTTAAAACAAGAAAAATAAGTGTTGTTTTCTTTTTATAAATTTAAAATGGACCACAATTATTTTGGGACATGACATAAGTGTCAAGCATCTCTAATAAATCAATAATTATATTAACAGAAAAACTCTATCCTAAAAATATTTTTCACCTGTTTTTTTTAAGTGTCATTTTTTAAATTTTTTTAAATTTATTAAAAGGTTACTTAATATTATTATTATTTATACAATAATTCTCTTTTTATCGGTAATAACCTTAAATGTTTATTATATTCTTTTTACTTTTTTTTCTTTGTAAATTTATGAATAATTTTGATAAAAATATAATTAATATTATTTAAATTTTGTAAGTGATAATTAAAAAAATAAAAAAATATTTTTAAATGACATTTAAAAAGAAATAGAAGGAGGGAATAATTCAATTTTACACCTAATTAAAAAAATATCAACATTTAGGGCTATTAGTATTTTTTGATCGAACATTTAATTAATTTTAGTGAACACAATTCTATACCATGTCATTTATGTTAACTTATTAAAGAATAAAAATTAAACTTTAAAACCAATTTACTTTAAATTTAGTCAATAAAACAAACTTTTGACTTTGGAGATGAATAGAAAATGCCAAAAACGTTAGGATATTACCGATCAGGTCTAGAATAAACTGGAAATTTCGCGGTCTCTCTCCAGCACACTATAAATTCGCATTTTCTTAGTCCTCAATCAATCGCAATTGTTTTTACTTCGCAATATCTTCCGCCTCATCGAAACCGCAATGGACGCGTTTACTTCATTCTTCGATTCCCAATCTTCTTCAAGAAACCGCTGGAATTACGATTCCCTCAAAAACTTCCGTCAAATCTCCCCCGTCGTTCAGAATCACATCAAACTGGTAATTAATTAACTAATTTCTCTCCTAATTTCATTTTAACAAATTGACGAAAGTACCCTTATTGTAATATGGAATCTGTTGCAGGTTTATTTTACATTGTGCTGTGCTATTGCTGCTTCAGCTGTTGGAGCGTTTATTCATGTGTTATGGAATATTGGAGGTTTTCTTACCACGGTGGCGGGTATTGGAACCATGATTTGGTTGTTATCTACGCCTCCTTTTGAAGAGGTGTGAATTTGAATTAGCAAGTAGTTATGTTTTGTTAGTTTGTGATTGGGTTTTAGGTCTCACTCTTTTTTGTTGGTTTCTTATTTGCAGCGAAAGAGAGTGTATTTGTTGATGGCTTCGGCTTTCTTTCAAGGGGCCTCTATTGGACCCTTGATTGATTTGGCTATTGTTATTGATGCTAGGTATGACTTTATTGCAACTCGAAGTGCTTTTGTTGATTAGTGTTATTAGTATTGTGCATTTTTGTTCCGGAAGGTGTGAGAATTTTCACGGCTTTGTCTTTTAAAAAAGTGTTGTATATAAATTATCGTTAGTCTAAATTTACTGAGACTATTTTGGGGTGGAACAATTTTGGTTCTAGTGGCTTATATGATAGCGGGCTGATTTTGAGTTTTGGATGATTTTATGACATTTTTCTTTCATTGTTCCAGTCTTATTGTTACTGCATTTGTGGCAACCTCCTTGGTCTTTGCATGTTTCTCAGCAGCCGCCTTGGTTGCAAAGCGTAGGGAGTATCTCTACCTTGGTGGCTTGCTTTCTTCTGGGCTGTCTATTCTCATGTGGTTGCATTTTGCTTCCTCTATCTTTGGGGGATCTACTGCTCTCTTTCAGTTTGAGGTAAGTGAATTATGTTACCATTCTTGCTAGTGTATTGCTGTATTGCTACAAACTTAGTAATAATATTTGTATTCATAATTTGCTATGACTCCTTAGGCGTGTGTTGCTGAATCCAACACTTACGACAGGTGTTTGAAAAAGTTTCCAAAAAAATAGTTTTTTCTTTCCTTAGATACTCTTTGAATCAGTGCCCAATACTCGCAACACATACAATCGAACAATTCAAACAAATGTTTAAAAAAAAAACAATGCTTTTCTTGTTCTTCAACCTATCTTAAAGGACAAACCTCACACATCTAAAAGATTATATATATTTGAAGCAATGCAATCAATGAAGATTATCGACATTATCTTATTAGAATTTTTAATTCAGGGTTCTATGTTTTTTACATTATCGGTGTCGTGAGTAGGTGTCTATGTCGGAGTCGTGATTCATATATAATATGCCTAGTAATAAAATATCTTACCGTGTTCTTAATTGCTCCTTTGCAGTTGTATTTTGGGCTTCTGGTGTTTGTGGGCTACATTGTAGTAGACACCCAAGAAATTATTGAAAAAGCTCACTTGGGTGATCTGGATTATGTGAAGCATGCATTGACCCTATTCACTGATTTGGCTGCAATCTTTGTGCGGATTCTTGTTATATTGGTGAGTTGGACCCAACATTTTATGTTTCTTAGTTTGCATTATTCTTTGTTGTTTCAGAATTCAGATGATTTGTATTGACAAAGTTTCTATTTTCTTTTCACAGTTGAAGAATTCAGCCGAGAAAAATGAAAGAAATGAAAGAAAGAAGAAGAGGAGAGATGATGACTAGAACCATTTAAGTGCTTTTATTTTAGTACTGTGATGCAGTTTGTGGAGAAATAACGAACAATTTGTTTGTAAAGTTTTTGTGATGCAGTTTGTGGAGAGATAACGAATAATTTGTTTGTAAAGTTTTTGTGATGCAGTTTGTGGAGAGATAACGAACAATTTGTTTGTAAAGTTTTTGTTTTTCTGTTTAAATTGTCTAACTGTGTTGTATTCTGTTTAAATTGTGCAAAGTAATAGTTGGTTTTGAAACCAGTTGATTGAGTTTAGTAATCCCTTGTCCCCAGAAATTAACCACGTTTGCTTATTCACTAGATTCATACATATTAGTGTCACTGTCGGATCATTTGTAAAAATAGTGAATGGATAATCGTGCATTGCTTCACACTGGGTTATGCAATAGCAATGCCAATTGCCAAATTTTACTTAATACCATCGATTGTTAGAGAAGGTGAAATTTGCAAGAAACAACTTAAATTAGTTCGGTATTCTTTGATCTAAACATAAATTAGTATGGTATTCTTAGAATATTGTGTAAAATGAAAAAACCACTGATTGGGGTGGGGGTATAAACTGTTCTGTCTTTTCATCCTTGAATAAGTGTTTTGCATTAAGTGATCATTTTAACATCTTAATAGGAAAAAGAGGAAACCACGTGTAAAGATAAACTGAAGTGTGCTTTAGCTGATTGAAATTGGTTTGCTATTCCATTGCCTACCTTAGGCAAGCGAAAATGCTAATTAGTAGGAATGCCATTGATATCAAGCATTCAAATTAGTGGTAAGCTTATTGTATCAAGCATTCAAACTTTGGAGCTATTCTTAACTAAGGCTAGGCCGGCTATCTGAACAGATTAAGCATTCAAACTTTGTAGCTATTCTTAATTCTTAACAGTCTAGGCCGGTCATATAAATAGTACAGTTGAAAGTCTTTTTCTTGATTAAATATGGTTGAGCATGAAAGTCTTTTTCTTGATTAAATATGGTTGAGCATAATTCGTATTAAGATAAATAGAAATATAATATTTGGAAACTCCAAAGGTGTTTTAGGTTTAAGTATTAGATGAAGATTAGATGAGTAATTTTAGATTAGGTTAAAGGAGGGTTGAAGATTTATTGGCTCATTAAAGTTTGTAGAAGGTGATGTCTGAGACGAAATCGATTGACATGGATGATATTAATTGAACCAAAATGAAGTAGAAGGCCAAATAATTGGTTTAACTATTTGTTTAAGACGAGGTGATGTAATATATTTTAGACTTAAGACGCCGCAAAGAAGTTTGAGACAATTGAAGTTAGTATATATCAAAGATGTTGATGAATAAATTATTTTTGAATCAGTGACTATACAATTTAAAGATGCAAGTGGATTCGATTTGCAACATGTCAATGTCTTCAACAACATAATAATTGATTTGGTGAAACTAGGTGAAGATTGATGATAAAGAAAAGACAATTATTTTGATATGTCCTTTATTAAATTCTGTGACTTCTCTCATATGAAAAAAATATCAGTCTTAATGTGATTACTGCTGCTACATTTTTGTCTCCACTCAAAGGAGATAAATTATAGAGGAAGGAACTCAAGGAGATAATCTGCATGAAAGAAATGAAGTCAAGATCGTGGGCGGAACAATGGTAAAGCAGGTTATGAATAAAAAAAATCTGAATAGTGTTATATTTACAAACTGGGCATTGAAACTTGTTTAGGAGTCTGGAGAATGTCGGGAGTGTGAATGGATTAAACGTCCATGATCAAAGAAATTTTGACACCACATATCAGTCCAAAACTTTAAGGAAATGGGAATATGGATGTGCTATCTTATATATCCAACATTTCGATCATTTTTAGTTGATGTGCAGCTTAACCATCCACACTTGAACTCATTAATCTCTCCCACAAGTGTTATTTACCCACATCATTAACCTTGATGAATAGTTCGTTAGTTTAATGGAAAATATATCTCTTAATAAATGTTGGAATATGAAAAGGTTTCTACGCAGAGGCAGTTAACATGTTATTTTATCAAAAGGTAACCACATGCTTCATTAGAAGGGAGAGTTACAAAGAAGATATGGACATGTAGTTCTATTAATCTTGAAAATTTAAGGATTTTTTAATGTCCGACTTATATGCATATATGTGATGTGAGTGGGTTATGCAAAAGGTGTGACCGGTTCAAGTTATGAGATCTGATAAAATAGATGGTAATCAGTAAAGATGTTGTTTTTGATTAATAGTTACTATTAAAACACTCAATTGCAATATATGTGTCACAATTTGAAAGAGAAACTTTCAGCAAATTAATGATTTAGATGGATGTTGATTTGCCACCAGTAAATAATATGTAGGTAGCCTCTGAACCACAAAAGAAATTATGCTCTAATATTGAAATTGATCATAAACCTGAAGTTTCGGGTAGAGTACAAGATTATATTCTTGTACGTGATAGAGAACACCATTCAACAAAGCCACCACAACTATATGAGTATGAAGACTTGACGACTTGTGCACTTTTTACTATTTCTGGAGACCCTTCTATCATTCAAGAGGTTATAGCTAGCCTTAAGTAAGATAAATGGATGAGAATAACGAAGGAAATGAGGTAATTAAAGAAAAAATAGACATGATAGCTTGTTCAATTTTCTAAGAGGAAAAATGTCATATGTTTTAAGTGGTTGTTTAAGGGTCTGTTTGGTTCAAATGAGGGGGAGGGGAGGGGAGGGATTTTAATGAAGGGGAGGGGAGGGGAGGGGAGGGGAGGGAATTTTTTAATCAAATAAGTGTTTGGTTCAAAAGAGAGGAGGGGAGGGGAGGGGAGGGATTTTAATTAAAAATGTGTTTGGTTCAGAAGGGGAGGGGAGGGGTTTTATTAATAATTTACATTTTTATCCTTATGATCTTATATAAGTCATATGATATTAAAATGTGAAAAATTCCTGCGTATTTTTGTTGGTAATAAAATTTCTAATATTGAGTGATTACAAAAGTATTTATTTGTCACATAAAGTTAAAAAATCGAGTACAATCGATTCGACTTATAACTTTTCAACATAAATTAAACTATATGCCAATAACATCGTTTAAATTGTGATGAATCATATAACAAAACAAATATATAAAATAACTTATTAATAAAATAATATGGTTTACAATTTGATATAAAAGAAAATATGATAGAGTACATAACAAAATTAAAAGAAAAAAACAAATATAACGAAACATAATTTTTTTTATAAAAAAAAGACAATGATTATGATTTATATTAATTATAAAAATTATAAAATAATTTGAAGGTGGAGAACAATTATAATAAGTTGATGAAAACAATCGAGAAAAAATAGTAACACAAAAGATAACAAATAGTTTTGAAATACTGAAATTAAACTGAGGATATTTTAGTAAATATAATAATTTTTAAATATCAAAACTCATATTCCCTCCCCTCCCCTCCAAATCCCCCCAATTCGGAGGGAACCAAAAAGTGTGTTTTGGAGGGATTTTGCTCCCCTCCCCTCCCCTCCTAAAATTTGAACCAAACATATTTAATTAAAAATTTCCCCTCCCCTCCCCTCCCCTCCCCTCCATCTACCCCGAACCAAACACACCCTAAGAGAAAATCAATAGTAATAATAAAAAAGGGGAAAGTTAAACGCATCTTGTAGAAAAAAGGTACTCATAGCAAAATAAGATTGACTATGATAAGATTTTTTCTTCAGTTGTTCAACATATTTCTATATAGGAAGTGTTAGTTTTGGTAGAAAACTAGAACAATTTAGAACAAATGGATCAGTAGATATCATTTCTTCATAATAATCTAGATGAAAAAATTTACATGGAGCAATCAGGGGCTCCAGGAACACTAAATATGAAAATCTAGTCTACAAATTGAATAGGTTTTTACATGATTTAAATCAGTCTCCAAGGAAATGATACAAGCGCTTTGATTCACACATATTCAGATTACTACAAAAGATAGAAGTATGATTATTGTGTTTATGTTAGTAGCCCTGATGGTGGGTCTTTATTTTCCTATTGTTGTTTGTTGATGAATTGTAGATTGCTACTAAATATTTACGTGACGTAAACGAACTGAAAAACGTTTAGAAAGCAGTTTCATCATTGTTCGACACCAACCGTTCAACAATCACCGCGATCCACCGTGCAATTCGCTACGAACCCATCAAAGGGTGAGCAAATCGTCCTCACGGTTGTGTTTTTTTTAATCTTTTTCAGGTATCATATGGACAGGAGAAACATGACAAATGGCGAAAAAACGAAGGAAAAGCTTCCAGAAGCTCAACAGTGGAGGAAATGGAGCCGCCGCATTTGGAGAAGAGAAAAGGGTCAAAAACCCTAAAGTGTTCAGCAACACTAACACCACCTCATTTCCCCTTTTGTACTTTTTTCTTCTTTGTTCTTTGTTTTTTATTTTTTATTTTTTATGATTTTGTTATTTCGTTTTAAATTATAGTTAGTTTTAATTAATCATAATAAGTTAAACACTTTTTAAAATGAATTAAATTAAATAATAATTAATTTTTTTCTAAAAAAGAATATAACTAAGACCAACTTAAAATTGTCCTAACTTTTAAGGGTTACCCCTACTTTGTTTATTTTTGCTATTTGCTTCATTATTTGCCTGCTTATATGTTTATATATTGTACCTTGCGTGGGGTATCCATTATTGTGAGATAAGTCTTACACCCGGACTTGAGTGACATTATTATAGGAAGGTGATATATTCGACGAGGCTTATAGGGAGTGAGTCCCGACCAAGCTGACTTGAGAATCATCGCTCAGTTGAGGCCCTCCTGAAAAATAGTTCTGTTGAACGAGTATAGTCGTGAAAACACTTACTATTTTCGGCTAGGAGTCTGTGATACTGGGGACCGTAGTACCTTAACACCACTTTGGCCTTATCTAGGACGTAGTGTGAGGACTATGAGGGAGTAATCCCAAAATAGTTTCTACGTGATGCTACACTCAAAAGAGGTTCTCTTG